ACATATGGAAGGGTAAGTGAAGTGTGTAAGCTACGGTCAGTAAGTATTACGTAAGTGTCGCAGGCAGACTTGTACAGTGGCAACCCAGGCCTGATATGCGAGCTCCTGGCTCTAGCTTTCCTCCCTACGACCGATCGAAACCTCTTGTCCACTTGAGACTGTCCCAACTCTTCCCAAACACAACTAAAAGTAACTCGGGACTTGACCCTTCAGTGAACCATCCTCCCCAACACAGCGGCGGGGTCATCCTGTTAACTTTTTTAACATGCTTGTTAATAAAAATATAACAAAACATTTTCTTAAATAAATCAAAACGTTGTCTCGCGACATCCCAAAGCTCAACACATCCCAAAGAACAAAGAAAAGTGAAATATCGTGAACGTGTGGGATATAGTGGCTGAACCCTCTACCCGCCACCACTGCAATCCCAGCCTTACGCTGGTACGCCCCATGGCGCAAAGTGCACTGAGCTCACCATGCTTGTTACTCACCTGTATTTCTTCGTCGTTACCCATTGCCAGCAAAATACGAATAGAGATTTGGATAAACTGAATAACGCCGGGGAGGCCAGCTGGCGTAGGCCTACGTGCCGTCAAGGAGAGGTGGCAATAACGCATGGGTGAAGGGCGGAGTGCATGATAATGATGTGTTAGATGCATGGTTACGGCGTAAACCCAGCGGTACTAGTGTGACTGTGACGCATCAGCAAGGTCACGTTCATCGCCGGTTATACTGCACGCACACATTTTTACACACGTACACACTGTAGTGTATGCTGATTTATATCTTATATCGAATACAATTCAGGATGAAATACTCCAATTAGTTACATTAACATTGTGTGATACACTGACTTAAGATTTACATATATATGTCAGATTGTATGCTTAGTTATGTAATACATAATTATGATTGTCAGTTAAACTAAAATATTTCCATAAACTATATTAACATTATAAAACATATTATCAAGTCGTGACGTCGTTATGTGGATGTTTCTAAAGCACAATCATTCTTCATATATCTTTCACAAAGACAGACACAAAGAACAAATTAAAAGTGAATTAATTGCAAGTGTTGAGGAAACAAGGATGTTGTTAGGTATAGACCACCACGGCCATCACCACCACTACCACCACCCCGGCCATTTTGTCCGGCTGCCTCCCTCACACATCCCCCATCACTTAGGTGGGCAGAGGAGATTTCTCATTATCGTTTCTTAAACCTGATTTAATGAACTTGGTACATAAGAAAATATTATAAATTTTATATAGATCATCCACAACTAGTATTTTTTCATGTAATTAGCTTTTATAAATTTCCCCATGTCAAAAAGCTTGGGAGAGCCACTTGCCTGTTTTAACTAGTACTTGATATAATATAAACTTTTAAACTCCATTAAATAATACCTATATAATGCCAACAATAACCAGCAATTTCAAGCAACTAGCCTTTTTAAGTTTCCGAAAAGTGCCCAACGTCAAATTATAAGATGGGCAAATAGATTGGTTTTTATCTTAAAATATAGCTATATATTAGCGACATAGAATTTATAGTATGTACACACGCTATTTTTGCATTATACTAAGGCGAGAGGATAGACTTGAAGTCATATTTATGAACAACAATGACGGCACAATGTCAACAAGGTGGGATTCATCTCTTATGACAGATAAGATAAGACAGATAGCCGCTACCCCCCTCCCCCCACCACTACGCCTCACACTACTGGCAGGGGGTAGAATTTTCACGGAGGTTGCTCCGTCACGAGCCATATAACAACCAGATCAATTCATAAATATCACGGGTTTCAGTAATTGCACCATCTATTTCTAGTACCTAGGGTATATTCCAACGACTTACAGGCATTGGTAAAACACTGTCGATGTAGAAATCATACGGAGTTAGCTATCAGTACTACCCCACCCCCCCTCCCGCTAAACCCGCGGTCTGCCAAGCCAAGCGCACTCACCCTTTCCCTGTAAAACTGCCCATTAATCATTCAACAATCCCTCAGAAATATCAATCGAGGCTATGGTCTTGTTTACGATCATTTCATATATATTGATATAGTACTGCAATTTTATATAATTAAAGGAACAGTTACGGAAAAGTTTTTGACAAAGGTCACGATCGCTCATACGTGTAAATCACGCATATTACAACAATAAACAAGAGATATAATAAGTCCTTAAATGATAACTATATCGATAAATTAATAAAGAGCGATACGACTGCAAAAAAATTATTCTTTCTGGTGGAACTTGATTGTTTGAGCGAGGAAATCTAAATATTCTAACGATGCCAACAGAAAATACTAGAGTATGGGTAGATCAAACAACCTAAGTACAACATATCGTCGTATGTCCACCAATCACCATACTTGATTATGACAGTGCCCATGGCCCTCACGCAGAGTGGGGTTACTCGCTCCAGGTTTAGGGTTCTGTCAACGGAGCCCCTAATATGAATGCCAGAGTTTAGGGCTTCATTGATGTTTTGCCCCTCGCAACTTGTATGTAATATAAACAAGTGAGTAAGTATACCCAAAGAAGCCTATATTATTCTTTCTACGTCACACTACAATATCCTTGTTAACACATCACATGCAATCATATATTGTTTCGTACCGTTATGTTATCTACCACCCTTGGACAGTTACCGACTAACAAAGGGTTTTACAAGGTCAAAGTGTCCTACGAGACGAGTAAGTAAAAACATAAATTCATTATCTCGTCACAGTCAACGCTAGCAAAATTTTCTTTCTTGTATGCCTTTATAATCCTGGGAATGGCACAATGGTGGCCGAAATAAAGAGCGACACTGAACCTTCAATTGCTAATTCTAACTGCTGAAACAGGAGTTCTTTTGTTCTAGTGCTTTTCTACAACACGGTCACCTTATTTCCATCTGGTTGATCGTCACTTCAAACCTTTATCCATCACCTGCAAATCGTCACGTCTAAGCAATGGTAATCTTCGTTGCGAAAACCTACGTGAATGCAACTACTTATAGACCTATGGTTATATAATCCACTAATGTGGGAGAAGGCCCTGACTGCACTTTCTGTGGAGAAGGTAGGGGGGGGGGGGGCGTGTCCCGTCCCTCTGGCCCCGACGACCTTCTGTGATAATTACAGATCACCTGACGACTTAGTTTGTCCACTAGATATACAAATGCACATATCTTTCTGACATGTTTTGTTCAAGAAAGCAGACATCTAATTCATTCAGCAGCAGATCGTTTTCTACAACAAAAAGTCCTGAATAATTTACAAACACAACTTTCCCAAAAATCTTGTAGGCTGTTACAGGAAAAAAAACCTGTCACATATAATTCACCGTCAGCCACACGCCAAGTCAGTTAAACATAGTACACAGAAACGACAATTTTCAAAATGTTTTACAGTAATATCTATAACTAATTCCTTTGACAAAATGTCCTACGCCACTCTCAGCTGTGTACTAAACAATTAAATGGCACTAAACATTTCAACAGTTGCAACGTTTACTTGCATGGTTTTACTGTTAAGAGCACAAGTCACACTTTTTCTTGCTAGATTGATTGAATGCACTTGAAGTCGTTATATTTTGTTTACATGGAAAGATTCCACAGTATTCAGTTATATTTTCATGGTGAGTACAGTACACGTAGGCAGTAGCTACTACAGTACAGAACAGTATTTTCTTGTTAGAATGATCAGAGTACCGTAACACTTAGGCAACTATCTTTTCTTGTTAGCAAGGTTGAGTACACTACTGTGCAGTCATATTTTCTTGATAGAATAATACTGTACACAGTAATAACGGTACACTTTTGCAGTTATTTTCTCTTGATAACGTGTTGGGTTCAACTGTGAATACAGTATATATTTTCTTGTTAGAATATTATAAGTCACTTTTGCAGTCACATTTTCTTGTTGAAAGAATCTTGCACTTGTAGCACAGAAAATGTCAGAATATAAACAATAACTTCTCATGGCACTTATAATTTGTTTACATATGTTGAAATCACAAGTTTTCAGTATTCAATGACAATCTGACACTCAACACCAAGTCACAACACTACATAAACATAGTGTTAGGTACAATAATGTCTTCAAAACTACAAATGTTTGACTATTTCAATTTAACATTTTCACTGTCACAGTAACCAATTTCACAAATAATAAATACAATATACACATATCTTAAATATTTCTATTAGTCGTAATTATTATTATTATTTAATTACCCCAAACTATTTCAAATGTCACCAGTTCTAACCAAATCTGATACTGTACCAACATTTCTCCTTCAAGTCAAGTTTACTAACCCTTTGAAATGGGGCCGTTAAATTCCACATACAGATTTAGAGTCCACACACCATAACTGTGGAAAGTAATTAAGTTTAGATTGAAGCAGTTCTTGATAGTTACCCTGATAAGTGGGTAACGGTAATATGGGCCTATGTTCCCACAACGATCTAAGAGCATACAAAGTGACAGAAGCAATATAATGCTTGTTTTATGGGTGCTCACTGTGGTTTATTATGAATGACATGTGAATCACCTTGTCACTACCTTATAAAAACAACCTAAAACTGTATTCGCATATACCTGTCCTAAAATATATACCGTAACCATTAAGTTGTTTTATGAACCAACTAAAACTAACTTATGATCATTAGCTTAAATTCGGATCAACTACTTCCAAAAGTTTCACCAATTAGGCCTATGCTAGTCGTCAACAAGTTCGAAGGCAACTAACACAGAACTCTTAAATTTGCATACTGCCATATCGGCTAAATAGCATGACTGCTTAGATTACTGAGGGTTTGTTTTATGGTGACGGATAGTCTTGTATGATGAAGGAAATGAAGTCACATAGGCCTATCACCAGCGCAAGTCAAGTTAGCATCATCAACATTCAGAAAATGAGAGTTGAGGGTACTATTCAAGACATGTCGTAAGGCAATTAGGTGTGAAGAGTGTGCGGGAGGGGAGGACTGAGTAAGTAGGCCTATGCTACCACCAGCGCGTCAACAAGTTCATAGTATTCAACACTCACCTCGCCATGTTCCTCGCATCTTCCATCTGGAGTATTCTCCGGGAGGAAATATATCCTGAGTGAGACGAGAATCTGTCCTGAGGATCGGTCTTCCCACAGTAACTGAGCTTCTCCCACAGATATGATGTCTTCTTCCTCCCAAATCTTCACGAAGAAAAATTCACCCAGAGACAAAATTTTCTGTTTTCCGTGTAGCGTGTATTTGAACGCTTTGTAGAACGTGTAATTTCCGTGGTGGCCACAGGGCGACCCCACAAACTGAAAGAAAAGAGAGAAAAGAGGGATAAATGCAGGATAAATGCAACAATTATCGAGGCACTTATCCTTGGGCTTGGCGCGGGCTTCACGAGCCAAGCACAAACCTGCTCTGCATTATCTCCAGCCTACGAACACTCAACACCTTTTTGCTCTTTTCTCCCTGATTTAAGACCTAATGTCCACGGATTTCTCACACAATACGGCCGGTATATTTAGACACACTTGGGTACCGGTTACGTACCTGTATCTTGTGATTAGTCATTGTAAAACGGGAATTATTTGCACAGTATCCGCCACACACGCCACTCACATCGTCTACTTTGTATTTACTATAATTACGTGACGTCACAGGTTGATCCCGCGTGACGTCATGAAGTGGGCGGGGCTTATTCTATCATTCAAGCTCAGGAAACAAAGAGTTTTAAAAAGATTTACGACGTAACATACGCAAATACAACCAAGAGAACTATCAAAAACTCAGAGTAATCTAGCATTTTTTTTATTTAATCAGTGGTTATTCTATAAAATAAAAGAAAATAATGATTCCTTTACAAATGATAGTTGTGATGGTGTTCCATAACTTCAACTCGTCTGTCAGCTGTTGGTGTTTACAGTAACAACAGCACAGGCAACACGGGCAAGATAACGTTTTATATTGTTCCTTGAGTGTTTTGTTCCTTGACAGTAAGGCCCAGGTGTTCTATTTTAGCATTTTGACTTGTAGTATTATGTAATTAGATTAACAATGGACTTGGGCCAATTAAACTTTGCGTTTCCGGGAGCACCCTAATGGCTAATGGCCTTGTCCACGTATGACAAACGTCCCGAGTATTGGTGTATCTCTACTAACATAAATGGAGGTAACAGGTGCTCCAGTTTACTTGGGCACTTGCATTTTTGGTACGATTTGGTTTATCATTGAATTCTTGCCAATTAATCTCCGTGTTTCTGGTAATAATGGAGTAGTAGCCTTTGAGTGAGCTCCCTGGTTCACGGTGTATCACTATATCTCTCTTTTTTCCTCTGATATGCTTGTGTTTCGGTGTTGAATTGGTGGTTACCAATGTTCTCTGGCCACAGTTAAACTTCGTGTTTCTGTAAACAACTTTATTGATAATTTTATTCAAATGTATGTCACTTGTTATCAAACCTTACCCTCATTAACATTGCCATCCATGATTTAAGGCCGGGACGCCCCTGTTTAACAGAATTACTCAAGGTCCTTGATGTTTGGACTCAGATTTTAGAACAAGGCAGAAATATCTGCATTATACATAGATTTTGCCAAGGCTTTTGACAAGGCTATGAAAGGTTGAGAATTAAGTTGGAAGGCTACAGGGTTCGGGGATGTGTACTAGCGTGGATCAGAGGCCTTCTTCACGATCGCAATCAGTGTGTGTACAAGCGGGACCACAGGGCAGTTTATTAGGCCTGTTGTTATTTGCTTCATAAATGACATGCCAGAAGCAATACATTCCTCCATACAAATGTTTTTGGACAATGCCAGATTGTTTAGGGAAATTAAGAACCAAACAGACTGGAGAGCTACAGAAAGATTTCAATAAGCTTCAAGAATGGTCAAAGAAATGGCTGCTAAGATTCAGTGTCATGAAGTGCCATAGGATGCACCTGAGTCACACCTACAGTAAGGAGATGTATCATAGGTCCCAACGGGACGAAGAGACTGCATTAATTGAGACCAGATGTGAAAAGAACCTGGGTGTGTATGTTGACAAGGAACCTAAGTTCTCGGGCCATTGTGAGAAGGTGAATCAAGCAATGAAACTAGTAGGTCCTATAAGAAGGTTGTTTGGATAACTGGATGGTCTGTCGCTCGTCATGATCCTCAAGAGTGAGGTGCTTCCCTGTCTGTAGTACTGTCACGCCCTTTCTGGTCCCCGAGTTATGCTAGAGAGAATAAAACGCCTGCAACTGCCTAGCTTAAATTACAGACGGATAAGGGGTGACCTAATTGAAGTGTATAAACATCTTGGGGCACTACTCGGACGAATGCACATACCTGAAGCTGGCAGATGCCCACCCCACAAGGGGTCACAATCTGCCAGAGAGTGTTGTGACGGCATCGAGTGTGAGCTCTTTCAAGGCCAGATTTGACCAACACTGGAGCAGGTTCCGATATATTCAGGAGCAAGTACTTGCCATCAGTACGTAAGAGAGACGTGACCGACCGCCCAAGCGGCTAACGAGCCAATCGGTGGCAAAGATGATAAAAGAAAAAGTAAAGGAAATGGGATCAGTCAGTGTTTATTTTCCACTTGAATTTTATTTTTGGAAATAACTCAAAATTATTGCATGCGCAGTAACTCCGTAAATGTTTAAATGCATATAACTTAATGGTAAAAGGTGCCTTCTGCTGAAAGGGATAGCTTCTCTTATTTCAATGTTATTTACAAAACCGTGAATATATTTAATTTCAGAAAGTTCTATTCGTTCAAAATCTTTATGGTAACCAAAATCAGAGTCTCGAGTGGAAGTGTGAAGAAAACATTAGTCTGCTCCTCATAGATGATGAACTAGGACAATGTTAGTGGTGTTTGTGTGAAATACACCTCAGGTGGTTATTCACTTCTTGGACTCTTACTGTTAGAAGATAGTTTAAGGTATTGGACATGCACAGGCTCTGGAATGTAGATGAACACATGACGTGAGGTGGTATCCTTAAAAAAAAATCATTATGCTGTACCTGTATTGTACAGTACTGTATATTGTTTGTGGGACCTTAATTATGGTAAAATTAAATTATAGAAAGCTAAATAGATGTTAGGGTACATTTTTATATGTTAGGATGAGCTTTTAATGAAGAAAAATTATTGTTTTTGTAAAATTTAAACCCCGTAGAAGAAATCTGACTTCATAGGTGTTAAAGTAATATATGTAAATGGTAGAGATATTTTACTTTGTGTCCAAACTATATGGAATCAAACACATTTAAAAAGTATATATTTATCTTCCCACTTCTTCCTTTGTCTCTTATATTTTCCACTCTTCTATCATTCAATAAATACAGTAACCGTTAATAAGAGTCCTAATTCATCCCTCCCTTATTGAGAAAGAGTGATGTGTTATAAATGCCTTGGTATTATGCAGTAATACGGTGAGTCCTATATACTGTATAATAACTGTCCCATATTTCCTCTCTGTTTAAGTTATTGTATGTTAGCCTATTTTCCCACTGACCACAGCCTTCCTCCCTTCAACCATAGACAAATACCTCAACTTCCCTCTCTCCTCAATTCTTCCCCCCTCCACCTCTTACGAGTATAACAAGAAAGAATAACAGGAATAAGTAAAAGAAAGCATAAGAGTGAGTGAAAGAAGTAAGAATAAGGAATATAAATATAAGTAAATATAAAGAATTAAAAAGGAACGAACAGAATTTGTTGCATGGTGTTGGTGGTACAGCGGTAATGTGCCTAACTTTCACCAATACAGTGGGGTATGCTATAACGAATCTAATTGGTTCTAGAACCTTGTTCGTTATAGCATTCGTTCGTTATAGGATTAATCCGTTCCAGGCCCCCAAATACAACCACTTAACACTGAAAAATATAATATAAAATTGTAAAAAAGTGCATACATATGCATCTAAACCCCTGAAATAAAGAATATCATTAATACTTGTAATAAAAAAACAATAAACTAGTAAAAAAAATAAATAAATAATTGTTTTTTTTTTTTAAATAATGTTCGTTGTAGGAGTTTCGTTCGTTATAGCATTCTCAATTTTATAGGTAAAACCGTTCGTTATAGGAATATTCGTAGTAGGATCTGTTCGTTATAGCATACCCCACTGTATGTCAAGGGTTCGAGCCTCGGCCTGACACACGTGAGAAGGGTGTTATCCAGTGTGACCCTACCAAAACGCCACAGATTTCCCGGTCCCCAGTTTCCTCCTGTACTAACTCTGGTAAAACTGCCCAAACGGCTAGTAAGCTAATGATAAAAAAATAATAATTCTCCTTCCACTGTAAACCCTATCCTGTATTTAAATTAGGATATCTTTATGGTGTCTAAACACTGGAAACTTTCTCGCTTGGGTGACAAAGTGACTTTTTATAATCCATTGTACAGTAAAAAGAACTGCTGGTGTCCATCCTCAAAAGAGTCCAAAACTTGTGATTGTGTATGATTGGGTGTACACTATACTGTAGCTATGATTAACTAACTTGTTTTTGGGTGGCAGATAGAAAAGGAAGTCTAACCTTTTCTTCTTGGTGTTGTAGCCTTTCCTGTACAATAGTCTATACTTGTCTTGCATTGACCATGCTTCACATTATTCTTCCTTCCTTTTAGTTTCTGAACTCCTTGATCCACCCAACACAAAAGTGAGAAGAGTAAAGATAACATGGATTGATAAAAACCTTTTGTCTCTTTTCTCCAACAGCATGTTTATGCTTGAGAGATAACCAGATTGTTATGGAATTTACGAAGGCCAAAGACTAAATATTATGACCATGAAGATTACTGCGTGGAGTGTCCTCAGTGGCAAAATGTCTGGTCACCTGGTCATGAACGTCCCAGCAACACACACTGTCGGCAAAGTGCTTGATACATACTGTAATTACAAGGTACAGTATGTGTTTACCAGTCGCTATATCAATGAAAATGTTTACGTTATGATAGCTGGTTGAACCCTCTGAATTAAAAACATGGTAGATATTTTTAAGAAAGCTGCATTACCCTATGAGACCTGCTGCTTACTGGTACAGTAATCATAAAATGAATGAAGGAATGGTAAGAGAAGAACTCTAGTTATGATGATTTAAAATCAATAAGTAGTAAATCTCATGTTTCTTGTTCTGTATATATTAGTTATCATAAGATTACTGAATTCAAATTTGTGTTAAGGTTGATTGGTCATTACAGTACAGTACTTGAAATAGCTGGCCAAATATCAAATTGAAGACAGTTTTTGAGGTTTAATCATGTAAAATTAACAAAATATGTATAAATTACACATGTTTGCTTTCTTGATTAGTGTTGTCACAAGATGTTTTTGTGTTAAATTGTCATGCATGTTTAAAATTGAGAATTTTTGGAAAAAATAATACATTATCCCTTTGGCCAGTTATGCTACATACTGTATGCAAGAAAAGGCTAATGCTAAACTTTTGAGTTTTAACACAAAACATAACAATGACTGTTGTTGGTCTGCTTCAGGTGTTGTAACTTGGTTGGGTAGTGAGACTTCTTTGCAGGGCGTATTTCACAGAAGACTTGGTTGCGAAGGAACCTGTAGCGGTTGTGGTCATTAGATAAAAGGCGCTGTGTCTCTGTTGCATAAGTCTCTTGATCCGAGGTGTGATCCAGGGCAAGTCAGCTGGGTATGATCTGACGGACTTCTCAGGGAAAAAGTGGTGGTGAGCTTCCGTGGTGGTGTTGGTATAATTTATCAATTTGGTGTCCACGTCATCCACACTAAATACTTCAGTCCAGGGATGGTGAACTATCCACTGCCCAAAGAGACACACTGCAGAGTCAGTAATCGGCCTGTAGGTCTTGATGTAGCGTCTCTGCACTTGGCTGAGAGTGGGAGCTGGAGACCAGAACACTGATAGGTGTGTGCTACACCCGATAGGAGGCATTGATTGAGGTGGTTGGTACTGGTCCGCTAAGTCAGTTAAGATAAGGTCAAGGGTATTTTGACCGTGTGTGGGTTAATTCACAACTTGTGTTAGTAGCAGCTGGTCCCGGATATCAGTGGTGTCAATTTTGTTATAATCCCCGCATAATACTAACTTGGCACATGGGTACCTAACTCTGAGGTGGTAATGAGTTGATTGATAAGAGTGTCTCTGGTGGGTGAGTGAGGTGGGTGGTATGCTACACAGTATGTGATGGAAGCAGTGTGGTGTGGGTGGGCCAGTGGCATGACACGTACCTATAATGCCTCCACATCAGCTGGGACTTGAACATCCAGGCGTGATGGGCGTAGTTCATCTTGACAGAAGAGGGCAATGCCCCCTCCGCATCCATGTGAACAAAGGTGATGAAAGAGTTGATATCCCTCAATATGGCACGTTTCAGGAACAATTTGCCAAGCTTCACATATGGCAACAATGTTGGCAGCGACTGATGGGACTGTTGTTGCCAGTTCGTCAAATTTATTAGTTATTGAAGTGACATTGGAGAGCAAAGAGGGGAGATCATACCATATTCGTGGCACTTCAGTGTAATGGCACGGTTTGTCAGGAGTAGGTTTCTCTGGTTTTCTAGTGGAAGTGATGGTCCTAATGGGCTTGTGTGTTAGTTTCTTATTTTTTCCTGAACAGGACTTCTCAATAGGTTGGTTTTCATTTTCTTGTTCAAAGAAACCAATTACTGTACAGTAGTTCTTTTTTTTTGTATTCTCCCAATAAAGTGATTGAGTGTATTCCTAGGGTGTATCTGTGGCCAGTGGATATGTCATGCGAAGTAGAGACAATCTGCCCCTGAACCCAAACAAGACCCTCAAACAAGCTAATATTCAAGATGGTGAGATTCTTACTGTTGGTCTCTTAGGTAAGTGATTGATAATAATCATGTACAGTACAGTATACAGGGTTTTCACTGTGAAATGACTGTCAGCTCAACTGATGGTTGATCTTTCAGCTTGATTTTTTACTGGAACAAAACATTTTCTTATTATTTTAACGACCTTAACTAATCTTGAAGTGGCTGTACTGTACTGTAGTTTGTCCCATTTGTTTTATGATTTACTACAATATTGTTCTCTTGGTCTTCAGCCTCTCAGATTATCTTTGAATCACCTGCCACAACACTTGAGAAAACCTTGCTACTGTACAAACATTTGACTGTTGTTCCAAACTTAAGGAAATATTAAATGTGTGAGAAAAGTCAACTTACTGGTAATACAGAACAATTTACATATTGAGGTGCTATGAAATGTTGTGAATCATTGTGGATACTAAAGATTCACTTAGAGTTCTGTACATGTTTGTTGAGGAGATGAACAAGTGCAGGGTATTTTGAATGTTTGTAGATGTTTTCAGGCATTTTTGTCACTTGCTTTGAAATTTATGATTACTCTGACCCATCTCACAGAGAAGTATGTGAGGTGTGTTGATAACACTTAGGTAGAGCTTCTTTTCCTGATAGTACAGTATTTCATTTACCTGATGACTGCTTTTTTACTTTCATTTACGTACTGTATTTTGTCATTCTATTTCTTATTTCTCTTAAAATAAGTGATTTTAGATGTATATAAGGACAAAGGCTATAATATACAGGTAGCGGGAATTAAAAATTGTTCTGTAACTATGGTATGCACATAGCATGTGTTTCGACCTGCTTACAAATCCGACTTAAGAACATCCTCAGGAACAGAACCCGTCCGTAACCCGGGGACCCCCTGTATACAACTTATAATAATTTGTAGCTATATTTGTTCTTCACAGTTTGAGCTAACAGTGTTGTTTATCTTTACAGATGATGAGGAGCATATGTTTGCATTTGGGAGTTGGTGGATGGTGACTTTAGCATCTTTCATCATTGGCATCACAGGACTGATGTTTGCTTTTTGGTTGTTTTTGGAGCCTCTTAATGGACCAAAGAAGGTAAGTGGTGCTGTAAATAGTTGCTGTTGTGTGGGTATTTAATAGTGTTTGGTGTAGTTATTTATCCCCCACCACCCTTTATTTATCCTCCACCACCCCAACACGAAATGTAGGAATGCTTGCTTTTTAATTAGTACTGTATGTACATCCAAAAATTCCAAACACAAGAACTCGAATAAATAGCACTGGATTTTAACTAAACCTCATATGGAGGATACAGTTAGGGACCGACATCCAGGTCGTAAGTCGAAATGGTCGTAAGTCGGAAATGCTTAAATAACACATAGAAAATCGAAAAATGGGGTCCCTTTTTCTTCTCAGCACTACAAAACACTCACTTTTAAGCTTGCCAGCCATTTTAAAGTGAATTACAGATGAAAATTTTATCTGTGTACTGACTTTGGGACTCAAAAATACATAATTTGACCACATTTTGGTACGACTGAGGCAGGTCGTAAGTGCGGGTGGACGTAAGTCGAGTCGGTCGTAAGATCTCAATTGTATTTAATAAATTTCTGTTTCTGTCTTTATTTTTAAGGGTTGCAACCTTTTGGGCAGCTGTAGTGTGGGAGGGGGGGGAGTTGCCTATTTACAACGGCAACCTTGTTAAGCCTGTTGAATCTGGTGACTCAACTGTGTGAGCTCCTGCATAGGGCAAGTGGTGTGGTGGCTTAAATTCAACACATAATTTACATTACATAGAAATCATGCAACTTTTTGGGTTGGTAGAAATTGTGTTTACTTGCATCTCTCATAATTAGGGAGAGTTATTGATACATTATCTGCCCTAAGGGATCATTGGTGGCTGGATGACTGACTTGAGTGCCTCACCTGACATGACGGTGGAAAATATATAGTAAAACTTTACTTTGAGACCAAGTGTGGTCCAAAACTGGGCTGCTGAATTCAAATATCCAGTAAATCAGTACAGTACCTTGTACAGTACAGTATATATATTAGGAATGGATGAATTATTATAACTAACAACACCCAACTTTATCAATCATGATGAATACTGTAATTCTTACCCTCGACAGTTCTAGATGCAGTATGATCTTACTTCAGTTGCAGGTACAGTATTGTTTGGTGGAAATGGTAGAATATTTATGAAAAAAGAGGATATTAATGATTTAGGAATAATAAGGATGAAAATATTTCTCCTAGCTTCACACTCCACTTGACTATGTAGGCAAAAGGTGAAGGTGTTAAGTGTTGAAATTACATAATAATATTTCCTTGTTTACAATACTGTACATAAACTTTTATCACCGACTTTTCCTATTTAAACCTTAAACGGCGGGGTTATAAATGGCTGATGAGTACCTTTTGTCCCTCATTTTGTTCATCTATATAATCAAGATTTTATTGTGCCATAATTTTTTAGTTTGGTGCCTGATTCCCGTTTGAGTGATTTATTGTGACTCGAGGCAACTTTTCCTTTCTCACTTTGGCCCCTCCTCACGTCCCTCCTTCTACCAGTTGCATATTTTGTCGTCTTGGAGGAAGCTTCTAGCAATTCCAGTGACTAGTCATGTGGAAAGACTCCTTGCTGCATGAGGACTGCCAAATCATCGAGAAAACCGATGGTACAACATCACTGTGAATGAATTTTGTTTGTTTTTTACCATACCATGTTGATGCCCCAGGCCCATAAACCTGTTCTTCTTGATTACTGAAAGAAATATGACTTAACTGAGAGCACTTGTGTTTGGGAAGTGCATGGATAGGTACTGACTGTGTTTTCATGATTCAAATCCACATTCCTTGTAAGCCCAGCCCTTTCAAGCATCGGTCTACACTATTATATTATTGAGTAAAAATACCATACTGTAATAAGAATTTATATAATTTTCATCTTGATACCTTTTTTTTTTATTTTACTTATCATAATACAGTAAGTGGTTTCTGTGTTGTTTAGAAGTTTCATTCCTCTGAACTGTTACAGAAAGGAGAGAGGGAGTGAGAAGGTTAGATTATTGAAGATATGATATTTGTGATGAATTGTAAACCATAAGTGACTGGCAGATCATATGGGAATATAATAATGAATCAATAATAAAAACAGGTCTTAAGCTGGCCCTTCTACCTCCCACCTGGTTACATAACACAGAATCTTCTCTCTCATTGTTTGTGGCTCTCGTAGGCATAGTACTGTACGTATGTGGAATATTATGATAAATAATAATGGTCATCCTCGTTACACGAGGATGACCGGCCCTGGGGCCACCTGGGCGTGAATTTGTTTAAGGTGTATAAGCTGTCACCAACACAACAACCACACCCTGAATTAACAAGCTGTGTAACCCAGTGTCAAGAAGACCAGACAGCTCATCAACTGCACTGGCTAACCATTACCCTGGAACACGATCCACAGATTGATTAACATTCAGGTCCCCAATTACTGCTGGGTAGACAGATGTAAATGGCGTAAAGAAACTTGCCCATAGTTTCACTCTGCCCGGGGATCGAACCCGGGTCCGCTCGCTTGCAAGGCGGACATGCTGTCCAGTACACCACAGGTTGTTAATGGAATATTATATCACTGTATTCACTGAGCAAAACCTTTTCTTTTCCTAAGAAAATTTTTTAATTTTGCCCATTTTTAAAACCTTAATTTTCCCCTGCAAGGCTGTTTAGAAAATTTCATCGTTTAAGAGTTAAAACCGAGAAATTTATGAGCTTTACACACCACATCAAATGAGGTTAACATGGGGGTCTGGAAATATGAGAATTTTTACTGTAATAAAAAAAGCATGGTAGTTATTGTAATATTAGAACCAACTAAAAAGGTTAAATGGCATTTTTTTATTTAGTCTTTTCTTAATCATATGCTCACTTGTAAAGCAGAATACAGTGTACTGTACTAATATAATGAGATTACGAAAGGATTGACAGAATGTGAAGCATATTAGATTCAAAATTTATGAGTTAAAATATGGGGCAAATCACATGAAACTGATCAAATAATACATATAAGAATGATTGTACTGTACATGACCAAGTTTTTTCTTCACATCAAAATTGACAAGTACAATACCTGTACTGTACAGTTATTTATTTTAAGTGCATCCTGGGCATTTTTTAATTTTTTTAAGTTGTGTTTTTCATTTGTTTTATAGACACCTTTACATTACTAAGGGGATTTGACATGAAGAGATCAACTGATACATGACTTTTATATTGTCATTAGGATCAGTATTTTGTTAGGTGATCTCGCAATAGCCAGGCCTTTGAGAAGAGACTGGAGAAACACTGGGCTGATCAAGATGTCCTGTTCATTTATAAACTTGTGTTTGTGTATTGAAAGCCAGGTTACATAGGTATTCATCATTAATAACTACAGTACTGTATGTGAATTGTATATTTTACCTGTACTGTACATGAATACCAGTGACAAAAACAGTTGATGATAACAGAAAGATGCAATATGCTTACAGTAAACCCTTGATAACTCGGCACATATGGGACTCTGGTCTTGTCGAGTTATCCCAAATTCTGACTTATCGAGGCACTTCCCCCTCCTACAAAATTACTACAATAAAAAATCATTGACCCATATTATGTGTACAGGGTATATGTAATTTCTAAATGTAAAAAGGTAACACTTACCAGCACTGCAGGCAAAGAATGAAGCACCATAGTAGGTGACACAGATGTATGGTGGGTGACACAGAGGTATGGTGGGTGACACAGAGGTATGGTGGGTGACAGAGGCATGGTGGGTGACACAGAGGTATGGTGGGTGACAGAGGCATGGTGGGTGACACAGAGGTATGGTGGGTGACAGAGGCATGGTGGGTGACACAGAGGCATGGTAGGTGATGCGGGTGGCCAGATATGCTGAGATTTTCCCAGATAATTTTATATATCGGCATTTCCCGAATTATACTAATACATTCCGAGACCATATCCATGCCGAGTTATCAATTACCAAGTTATCTAGGGTTTATTGCACTTCCCAAAAATTATTTTAAGCACTTGTACCAGTAAATATTTAGATGTATTGAAATTATGTGAACTCACAATAGATTGATAGATGAGTAGGTAGACACGCTATCATAAACACAGGCTACAGTATATCTACATTCCATAACAAAAATGATTAATTTTATTTAACTTTGAAATGTGTCTGTTCTCTTTATATAGAAATTATCTTTCATGTCCAGTTTGGTGTGGTGGTGGATGCTGGATCATCTCACAGTGAGGTGTTTGTCTTCACATGGAATGGTGAAATGCCTCTTGGAACTGCCGACGTCAAGCTTCTTCATCGCTGTTTTATTTCAGGTATTTTTTGTGTTGTTTTCTGTCTTTAGGACTTGATGACTCACTGGGCAGTACTTAGGACTCCCAGCTCAAGAGATATGGGTTAAATCCTTTGGCCAGGTGGAACTGGCCATCAACTATACTCAGGTTCCGAGCTAAACTAGCCCTTCTCGCCTAAGGTTTGCCATCCCATAAATTAAGGGAAATGACATAAAGGATATGACAACTGATGTTTTGTTTAAATATGGGTATCAGACTAAAAAAGCCAATCAGAATTTGGTAAGGTGACACAAATATTGAGAGAATCCGAAATAAAAATTAGAAAGAAAGTGTATGTACTGTACAGTACATGTAATTCAAAAGTGGTTTGTTGGTAGAAAGCAAGAGTTCAAGGAGATAAAAGGATGGGATGAAGGAGTTACTGTACAACATAGGACAGGGATGAACATCAAGGAAGCACTACACTGTGTGTGTGACTGAGGAACAAGGTTTCAAGTGGTTTATGGGGATGGACAAGCTGCTGATGTATGATATGGGGTTGTATAAAATGTAAATTTTGGGACAGCAAATGAGCGAGAGAGAGTACAGTAGTACTGTATATTGCTTTTGATTCTAGTCACTGCATCAGAGCAGAAAAAAACTATTACTGTATATTCCATTTTTATTTTTATTAGTAATAATTCAGAAGACCCAAGTAAAGTCAAAACTAGACAGGATTAAATTTTCAGGTGGTGTAAATAGTTTTGCCACCCATGCTGATGATCTGAGGCGGTATTTTGGACCCTGCTTGGCTGAGACCGAGGCCTTTGTACCCAGCTTCCATCGCCCTGATGCCCTGCTGTATGTTGGAGCCACTGCTGGAATGAGGATACTTAGGTTAGTCTCAGATGAGCTGGAGGAGCTACTTAACACTCTTGGTGCTCTCCCGCAAGACACCCGGGGTCTGGCTTGTTACTCACTTGGCTGCACCACTCGAGAGAGAATTGTACAGTCAGCCAAAAATGCACTGACCCCACCCTGGGTCTCGTGCTCACAATTTTACCTGGCAATACTTGGTAAAGGTGATTGTGATTGGTGGATCTGTTTTCGGCTGTATCACTGTCGGGATAATTATTAGACAAACCAAAGGTAGAATTTATAATACAAAATACAAAATTAAAAATAGAATAATAAAATAATAATAATACAGTAATAATAACACTAATATTAATAATAATAATAGTAATAATAAAGGGAGAAACAATATACGTATGTATGTTGTGTTGTCAAAGTAAGAGAAACTCTTGAGACCCTGCAATTGTGTGTAAATGAGGCAGAAAGTCAGATCAGCAACCTGGGACTTGGTCACAATTTTCTTGATGCCATATGGCAGCAGGGTCTACTATTAGACAATAGATTATGCTTCCAATGTCTTTCCAGATGGTAGTACCTCCCTGTTTGGTAGCTGCCTACTACAGTTTGTGACCTGTATTACATAATTACATAAAGATTTGGAAATGTACAATCACCAAGATTTAGTTATAAAGTGTCTGCACAGTACAGTACAGTATTTGAATTAAGTCATAGATATCTAAATTTAGATATAGGTTTTGAAAGCGAAAGTGGGTCCTCTAGTCCTGATGGCCCGCTAGAGACAATATGGATACAGCATATTGTGTAATAAGCCATTGATACACAAGAAGTTAGGGAGGTCATCACTGCACCCGACTTCCTTCACTTCTTCTGGAAAAGTTAGGTATCAATATTAGATTTAAATTCTAAGTGTTTGTATTAAGTTTCCTCAATATCCAATACTTTCATTATGATCACTTATTTATCATCCAGAAAATTTGATCCAGAGGGAGCACAGGCAGTACTGGCAACGATACGAGAGTTTCTTGGCACAAACACGACCTTCCAAGTTGTCCATGACAATGTTAACATTTTGTCTGGTTCAGAGGAAGGCATAAGTGGCTGGATCATCGTCAATTATTTGATGAATCACTTAAAACAGGTATATGGTGTAATATGTTTTAGTGTAGTGCTTTGATATTTGGTCATAGTGGGTGTTCAGGTCTCAAAGATTATGACTGAATTTTCAGTTGTAGAACAAAGGTAAAACATTTTTGTCATAAACTGTACTTCTGATAGCATTCTTTACCTTCCATCTTGTTTTTCTATATTCTTTGGTTTTGCTTCTTGCTGATATTTTCAGTCTGGTGTATTTTTTTATGTCTCCCTGTATAAGGGTAGATATAGTGCTTTTGCCATACAGTATTTATTCTTGTTCTAGCCTCTTCCACTTGCCTTGCACTACCCTATAGCTTCTCAGCATTGTATTTTGATTTACCCCTCCCAAAAGTAGGAGAGTATTAACCCCTTGGCTTCGGGCTGTGGTCAGCATCTGCCCCTACCCCTACACGGGTATATTCGGGAGCATTTAAAAAACAAATAAAAAGCAATTCTAGTCTTACAAGCGGGCCATGCATGATATAAACAAGAAATAAATAAATGTCTTTAGCACAGGTTGGCAACATGGGCTAGGAAGAGTTGAGTATGTTTGTGAAGTGACGTGTGTGTGTGATGCAGGAGTAACGAGGTAAACAACACTAATTTGTAGGCAGTATGAGGTGCAGGACACTTGTTTTACTGTTATTACTATTTACACTATTAACAATCCTTGGCAATACTAGACTTGTGCTTGGGGGTTAGGGGGTACAATCACATGGTGAAATGAGTCAAGTCCAAGGGCGAGATTCATACATCACAAAAGCTGAGAAGAGTCTGGGAGGCTCTCATGTGTGAGTGAGTGAAAGATAAATACCTACTTGGCAACATAATCTAGCTAGGCCTTCCCTTTTTATTCATGTAGGCCTATGAAAGATCAAAATCTCATGGGATGTGACCCGAAGCTCTACAGATGCACATCATATGACATGACCTGAAGCCTAGGGGTTAAAGGTACTGTAATTGACAGATTTTTTCCTTCATTCGGGAACTTTTGTTAACAAGATGTGCCTGGATGTAAGGTAAAGTTTTAGAGAAATAGGCCACAGGGGAGACCTTCATTAACTCTTTAGCGACATGGATGCCACTTATAATAATTTATTTGGCTAATGCAGACAATTTTATTCAGCTCAGAGGCAACACCATACACAAGGAGCTAAAGATCAGAGACTTGGCTCCTTGAGTTCCTTGATCCACTTCAGGTGTCCTCACAAAACTGTTCCCGCTGTATACTCGCCATATCCACTTTCTTTATTTGTGTCCTCAACAATTTTTTTTTTCTTACCACACTGCAGAGTGGCTAGAGCCAAGCGAGAGTGAAGGCTTCCCCTTATTTTGCTGTTATTAAGTCACTGTCACTGCTGTAACTAATGTGTTCACTTACAGTATTCCCCCCTTCCTAAGTAAGTTCCAAGATATCTACTGTATCTGGTTTACTCATATTGCTTCACACAATGTAGCATCATTCTCTCATTGTAGAACATGTACCACTGGTACATTGTACCAGTATCCCTATAAAAAAAAAATTTGCATAAATATTTTGATATTAACTTGCAAACATAAAGCAACCCAACAACAAATAATTATTGAAAATAATCGTCAGTGATTTGTAGTTTGGCTCTTTAAACTTAATCATGTATGGAAGTGAGGGGCTCATTACATACAGTATTATCTTATATAATCTAATCACGATTTTCTTTTTTTTAGAGTTGTATTAAGATTTTTGAAAAGGTAATGGATCATATTATTCTTGTGTAAGATTTGTTAGAATATTGTATGTGCATTAGAAGCTGTGATTTTGTAGCTTCTAATGAATTTTATTCTTTCTATGCAGTGGCAGAAAGCAACGGCTGCTGTCTTGGATGTTGGAGGGGCCTCCATGCAGGTGACAAGTGAGCAATCGCAATCCGATAATCTCACAACCACAAATATCACACTTTTTAATCAAACTCATAAGTAAGTGTATGTCCTCTGTATGTTATTACTTTTTGTGGATGATTGAAGGGGAATGTAACCTGCAGTGAACGTTTAGGAGTCAACCCATAGCGTGACCCCTTGGGTGGCAACTTCACATTTTAGACAGTTTGAGAACCATTTTTGTGAATCCTCATTCCTCCAGGAAGATGCCTTATGTGGGGGTGGCCATGACAAAAGAATCTCCAGCTTGCATTATTACTGCTTTTCTCCTTTGGCCTTATTCTCCACTCTGCTTCCTCCCTAATTTTTTATTCTACCTTTTCTTTCAACAATGTAGATCATTTCCTTCTATCCAACACATTTGCTACATTCCCTTTATTATCCTGTCCTGTATCCTTCTCACATTTCCATATCATCTTAGTTAACTGCTCCTCACCCATTCCACCACTCCACAGTTTACACTCTTTGCCTTCTATGCCATTCCAAACAGCCCATATGAGTTGTTACACCAAGTTTGGGGATGGGGTTACATTGTAAGCACTAATTCACAGCAGCTACCCATCATACACTATCTCCTTAATAGGGAATACACCACAGTGCATCTATTCTTTTAGTATGTATGGCTTCTCTCAACCTCTATGAATGACACACAAAATCTTCAAGGGATAAGAAACACTTGTGACACCCATTGTGTGTAATACCAGTAATTAGTTATCAGTTCACTTTTTTTAGCCCATAATATTCTCCCTGTTTATACACTATCTTTACTCTTTTCCCACTATAATTTGTTGTTTAGGATGGAGCCAAGGAATACAGAAATCTCTTTAAGAAAGGGTTAGATAAGAGGGGAGAGTGATGCAAGATATGTGTTGAAGGCTACTGATAGAAGCTAAGACAACAAGGAGAAATACCCACAGATTCTCTCATACAGGTATCCTCATTTCACATACTAAATTTATTCTCAGCATCAACTTTATTATTTAATATTGATTCTCAGTGTATTGTGGGCTTAGACATCTGGTTCATAAATTTTGTTGGTAGTTGTATTCAGTTAATGTCTGTTAATCTTGGTATTTAACTCTGCCTGTCAGTTTATATTCAACTCATGTCTGTCAGAGTGTATTAAACAAATGCCCTTTATGTTTATCAGTCATGTACCCAGGTAATTCATTAGTGTTTATGTCAAATTAATATAATTTTGTCATTGTTTATTGCTTCTTTCTTAGTCATTGTGTTTAGTTAATGTCTGTTGGTGCGTACAGTAAAACCTCGATATCTCGGCACGTATGGGGCTCTGGCCTTGCTGAATTATCCCAAATTACGACTTATCGAGGCACTTCCTCCACCTCCCCCCTACAAAAATACAACAATAAAAAATTATCGGCCCATGTACGCACACCTGTAATTCCTAATTTAAAAAAAGTAACACTTAACAGCAATGCAGGTGAAGAATGAAGCATTGTAGTAGGTGAGAGGCATGGTCGGTGATGCAGGGAAATGGTCGGTGATGCAGGGGAATGGTCGGTGATGCAGGGGAATGGTCGGTGATGCAGGGGAATGGTCGGTGATGCAGGAGAATGGTAGGTGATGCAGGAGAATGGTAGGTGATGCAGGGGAATGGTAGGTGATGCATGGGGATGGTAGGTGATGCAGGGGAATGGTAGGTGATGCAGGGGAACGATAGGTGATGCAAGGGAATGGTAGGTGATGCAGGGGAATGGTAGGTGATGCAGGGTAATGGTAGGTGATGCAGGGGAATGGTAGGTGATGCAGGGTAATGGTAGGTGATGCAGGGGAATGGTAGGTGATGCAGGGGAATGGTAGGTGATGTAGGGAATGGTAGGTGATGCAGGGGAATGGTAGGTGATGCAGGGAAATGGTCGGTGATGCAGGGAAATGGTCGGGTGATGCAGGGAATGGTCGGTGATGCAGGGAATGGTAGGTGATGCAGGGGAATGGTAGGTGATGCAGGGAATGGTAGGGTGATGGTGAAAATGGTGATGCAGGAGAATGGTAGATGCAGGGGAATGGTAGGTGATGCAGGGGAATGGTAGGTGATGCAGGGAATGGTAGGTGATGCAGGGAATGGTAGATGCAGGAGAATGGTAGGTGATGGTGAGAATGGTAGGTGATGCAGGGAAATGGTAGGTGATGCAGGGGAATGGTAGGTGATGCAGGGGAATGGTAGGTGATGCAGGGGAATGGTAAGTGATGCAGGGGAATGGTAGGTGATGCAGGGAAATGGTAGGTGATGCAGGGGAATGGTAGGTGACGCAGGGGAATGGTTGGTGACACAGGGGAGTGGTAGGTGATGCAGGAGAATGGTGGTGATGCAGGAGAATGGTAGGTGATGCAGAATGTAGGTGAGCAGGGAATGGTAGGTGATGCAGGGAATGGTGGTGATGCAGGGAATGGTGGCAGGGGAATGGTAGGTGATGCAGGGAATGTAGGTGATGCAGGGGAATGGTAGGTGATGCAGGAAATGGTCGGTGATGCAGGGAAATGGTGGTGATGCAGGAATGGTCGGTGATGCAGAAAGGGAATGTGTAATGGTGAGAGGGAATGGTCGGTGATGCAGGAGAATGGTAGGTGATGCAGGGAATGTAATAGAATGGTAGGTGATGCAGGGAATGGTAGGTGATGCAGGAAATGGTATGCGGGATGCAGGGAATGGTAGGTGATGCAGGGGAATGGTAGGTGATGCAGGAAATGGTGATGCAGGAATGGAGTGAGAAGTAGTGATGAATGGGGTGATAGGATGGTAGGTGATGCAGGGAATCGTGATGGAAGTGGTGATGCAGGGAATGGTAGGTGATGCAGGGGAATGGTAGGATGCAGGGAATGTGATGCAGGGGAATGGTCGGTGATGCAGGGGAATGGTAGGTGATGCAGGAAGTGAGAAATGGTGGTGGGAATGGTAGGTGATGCAGGGAATGGTAGGTGATGCAGGGGAATGGTAGGTGATGCAGGGAATGGTAGGTGATGGGGGAACGCGACATAACAGCAAACAGTGCGGCACTTATGCATACTACTGTAATTGGTCACTTGTACAAAATAAAAAATAAATTGTAACAAAAATAATTGTTTTGTCTACGTATAATAAATCAGAGTACCCGGTATGTAAATAAACATAAATTAGATCACTAAAGAGATTATAGTCCACCCGAGTAAAACTGCTTTCTTTATTATAGAGCAAAAGAGTAAAAATTAACTCTAATATGCCTTAGAAATAAAGAAAATATAATATAAAACTAAAAATTAAGAACAATTAAGAAAATAAGTGTGTGTGTGTGTGGGGGGGGGGTGAACATATGTGAAGGCAGTGAGCTGTACTGCAAGGCTGACTCGCCCAGCTCTCTTCCTCCCATGTGACATCACAGCACATGCACAGATGCATACACGTTTCTGTCAGCTGGTTGACTGCCAGGCTGAACTGTGGCGTCACTTAGATGATGGTTTGAGTGTGGAAGGAACTATTTTTTTACATAAAATTTGTGATATTGTATATTATGATATGCTGTGTATCAATTTTATTGTTTAAGACAGCAATTTTTGTTTAAAAAGCGGTTATAGCGCTCCAGGTGTCAGACACACGAATAAATGACTTCAGTTGCTTTCGGATTGTTGGACTAAATTAGAGTTTTTATCAAAGGGGACAAGTTGGGATACCTGGAAGATTCAGATACTGTAGTTGGAATTCGAATAAAATGAACTGCACCTTAAATTAAATAAAGTCTACGACATTGGATTTGCCATAATAGTGGAGATGTTCTGCATACAGCGGCTTGACATGAATGGGGGAGGTTGTTGGGTGTTACTGGGTCAGTACTGCAAAAACCATATTTAGTGCTAAATATTAATTCTGGTGTCCTAGATACTCTGATGCAGTGTATAGTACCTTATACTTGAAATATTGGGGTGCTACAGCACCCTCCATGTCTATGTTCTGGGTGGAGTGATCCAGCGTGCGCCCGACCACAACAATAACGAACACCAGACTGAGCAAGTGTGGAGCGCAGCATGGCGAGTGTTAACCACGCGGCTAAATATGCCTAGATTTTCCCGGATAATTTTTTATAGCTCAGCATTTCCCGAAATTTTTTAAATAAATTCCGAGACCATATACTCGTACATGCCGAGTTATATGAAATTCCAAATACTGTACCAAGTTATCACGGGTTTACTGTACGTATAATATTTATTGTCTGTCACTCTTTATATTCACTAAATGTTTGTACATAAATCATTGTATTCATGCTTATACCTTCCTCAGACATCGCCTAGTATTATATAAAACAAAAAAAATTCATTTTATTAATACGATTGACTATTTTTCTTTTTTTTTATAGGGTCTACAGTCAGTCATTTCTCTGTTATGGGATTGGACAAGCACAACATCGGTATGATTTTCTCCTCATTAATGGAAATAAAACCAAAGGGGGATCCCTCCCATCAGAAGTGACCATCGATCCATGCTTAGCAAAAGGTGTTACCCATAAAATCTTGCCACAAGATATTAATGGACCTTGTACACTTACAGATGATTCAAAGCCTGTTTTATTAGGAATTACTAATGTTGATCACAAAAAATTGAAAAAGATATTCAAAAATTATCAGAGAGACAGTGCAAAGGGGAATAGTGAACCTCATGGCATTACTCTCATACAAACTAGTGCAGAAAAAGTTACCCCAACCCAGGATGGTGAAGGTGATGATGAGTCAAGTCCCCTCTATGTCCAAGGATCCAGTAATGCTGCCACATGTGCACAGAAGATGAGTCAGTTGTTTGATGTCCAATTATGCAAAAATACCTTCACTTATGGTGACTGCATGGATGCACAGTCTGTCCCCACTGTCAATGGTACCCTTGTTGTAAGTATTTTTTAATAGAACTCCTTAAATCCTCAACCCTCGAGTTAACCTAATGTATCATAGCTTGACTTAACCTAACCACACTTAACTTATCCCATACTTAATCCAATTTTAAGTCAAGAAACTTTGCTTTATTTGGAAAAGTAATATTCATTTGGATAAGTAGTTGGATGGTAGCAATGGAAACACAGGGTGAGAGAGACGACAACTTTACTCTTGATGTATCGTCATGAAGGACTTCCTCAAAGGAATGATTCCTCAGAGGAAGTCCTTCATGATGAAACATACAACCATATAATAGGAAGATTTAACTCGTGTTCAACAAGTTTGTTTTATGTGAAATTAACATGGTTAGAGAATGTCAGATGAGAGCAGTATAAAAAAAAAGATAAACCTGTAAGATGAATGGTGAATGTTTTTAACAGCAAATTTTAATATAATTGACAGCTGCTGCTTTTTTAAGAACATTTATAAAGAGAGACATTTTTAGAATTTTTTTTTTACAAAACATGATATATATTTTATATATATTATATATGATATATATTATACCTTAAATTAAAGACCAAAGGCTAAAAATATCATAATAGAGCAAAAAACTTTACTTAAGTACTCTAAATGCTACACATTTATGTACAGTTACTTTATACAGTTGTATTTAGTGGTAAGAAAAAGAAATTAAATGAGAAAGCAAGTGTGATATTAGGGAAGTCAACTGGATTGCAGTAGCGCTGACGTGTAGTCTGCGGCATGTGGCCTGCCCCACACTGCTCGTATCACCACTGTGTCATCAACACACACATGAACGCACACCTGACATGCATCACTGTGAATGAAACATGTATACATACTGAATATTATGTTTTCCTTTAACAAACTTATACTGGGAAGAATATATAATTTATCCCAGTCATAAATGTAATATCAACATTATGAAAGCAAAATAATTAGCAGTGCTACTTTTGTATATGAAGTTTACTTTTCTTACCTCATAATGAGCTGGTGTAGAGAGGCCTCAGTAATGATACCGAAGGTATTACTGCTCCTCCTTTAAGACCTCTGGACAGGGATCATCCAGAATGTCTGATGAAGGGCTAGCAGGTGAGGAAGCTGTATCAATGGAGTGAAGAAGAGAGGCATGCTGTGAGTGTAGGAAGGGTGATGCAGATGACTCCAAGCTGATTGGTGAGGAGAGAGACGGGAGTCGGGGGGCGGCTGGATCTCGACATTAAAAGCATTGTGCTTGGCAATTGTCTGGCTTTCTTTTTTAGTTCTTCATAGATTTCTTGGTATGGTTGCAAAGCATTCTTGATATTCCATTTCACAATGATGCTTAGCACCATTGATGGGTCATAGTCATAATGGTTGACTCATTCACTCAAAACACATGGCCAACAGATGACTCACTCATGCCGCAAGTGATATTATCTAACACTTTAATTTTCTGTGTGAGTCATCACTTTCATCACTCTCTTTGCACCAGATGCACTGCCACGAGTTAATTTCATTTTGGGAGCCATGACAAAGTTATAATTAAAATTAGAATTGCTCAGGAGGAAAAGGAGGAGTAAGAATTTTTTCAGCCTGGCAACAACAGAGACAACTGAAGACAAGACTGGTGGGAGAACACAAAGTTCTTTCTCATTTTTTATTGTTGTTGGACTAGTGTACATTGTACAATACTATTAACCATGCTCTGCACTTAAAGACCTTCATTGTTGAAGCACAGCAATAACATGGCAGCAATAGAATACAGCAGCGTGGGATATGGCAGGATGCCATGATGTCACATCAAGGGAGACGCCTGCAATTTTTAAAATAGGCACGTTACCTTTTTGTTATTTCAGTTATAAACCTCTGAGGCTCCTTCGTGGATGGTTGAATTTGCAAAAGTTAAGTTCACTTATGTTGAGGTTCTGGTGTATCTGTTATCAATACTGTACTGTAGTATTCCGAGTCAGGGAAACAAACCTGAAGGGAATTGCTAGAGGCAACTTATGCAAGAGTTAGAAATGACTGAAATACAGTATTGATAAACTCTTATTGTCACTAATAGTAGAAAGGTACTTTTCATCTGTTATTAAATAAACAGATAGTGGTGAGTGTGAGGTTGTTGTGTATTATTACAGTACTATTATTTTCTTGTAGGCCTTCTCTGGTCTGTTCTACCACCTGATGCTGCTACTCCATGTACAACCAAACATCACACTAGAAGAGTTCAAGAAAGCTGTGTTTGATGTTTGTTCTCTGGAGTCAGAAGTGCTTTATACTGCATACCCTGGTATGTGGTTTCACTGCCTGGTAGTGTTAATTTTTTTTTTTTTTTTTTTTTTTTACTTCTTCACTGCTTATCAGCTTACTAGTCAGTTGGCTTTTTCTCCAGTGTTAGTGTTGGAGGAATCGTGCAATGTTGAGTAGAGTCACACTGGACAGCACCCTTCTCTCGTCCAACCCATATCATAATGTTTTAGAGAGAAGCACACAACAATACACAGAAATACTTATCTTTAATACAGAGGCACTAGGTATGTATAAATATGGTTACATAAATTCAACCAATTACCACATGGCTACTTGTACAGTACTTAAGGTGGGTAGTAATTACAGAAAAATTATGTTGAGGAACTAGTAAGCTAGTGCAGAAGTGCCTTTCCTAGACAGGCGCAATAGGCTGACAAAAATTCTGGTAAATTTAGCCAATACACCTGTAAATACTGTACAGATGTATTGGGTATCAACTCTTTGTATATAATTGCAGTACAAGTGCAGTAATCCCCTGGGTTACTGAAGAAATGTGTCCTTGAAAAGTTGACTACATAATGTGAAATTCTGTCACGTGAACCCCATTGTACCATTGACTTCCTTTATATAATTGGAGATGCATTCCTAAAGATACTTTTTCAGCAAAAAGAAGTAATACAAGCACCCTTTTGAATGAAAATAATTTTTTTTAAACACATACACTGATTATTTTATGATAATATATAAAACACTTGAATTAAACTTGCCACAAACAATGTTGAGTGCTGCATGAGGTGAGGTAGTGCATTGGGAACTATTGGGAGATGTAGCAAGCCCTAATGTTTTTGCAATCTGGTTAAGTTTTTCTTCTGCATCAAACCCCATAAAACATCAAGTTTTATATTTAACGTAATTCTTTTATGGGATCTTTTAGCACTACTGCTATAACTTGCACTTGATGGCTTCTTTCCACTCATCTTGAATAAGGGTAATACACTGAACAGTGATTTTATATATATATATATATATATATATATATATATATATATATATATATATATATATATATATATATATATATATATATATATATATATATATATATATATATATATATATATATATATATATATATATATATATATATATATATATATATATATATATATATATATAAATTTTTGCATTTTTCAAAATTTACCCCATTTCTGTAAAGTTGAATTTACAAGCCGTATCCCAAATTTAGTGGTCATAATTTACAAATTCTGTATGGGCAAATTTCTACAACGGGGATACCTGTATTTCCAAATGCTTAAAATTAAATTAATTGGGAACTAAAAGATGCTGAAAAAAAGAAACCATCTTAAATTTAGCTTAAGCTCGCTTACCTAGTAGAACCTCGTTTAACTAGAATCTTCAGTGTTTCCCTGTGTAGATTTCTTTGTCTCCAACCTTTATCCTATGGTACATTATTCCAGCAATTAGTCAGTTCCTCTATTGCCAGTAGTTCATCTATAAGCTTTCAACCTTCCTTCTGTCTCTTCCTCATATGATTTTCTGGATTACCTGTTGATTTAAATCCATAAAATTCAAGTACATCCTGTACTGTGATTAATTTTAACATTCCACAGCCTCTCTCTTCCCCCCCTCATTATCTACATCAGCTTCAGTCTTGGTATCTTCCACTCCATATGAAAATGCAAAGGCAAAATAGTTAAAAAATATGACAGTGAAATTTTACATTTGCTTCACACTAGTACATCTTCTGTCACAGAGTACAGTGCAATGCCAGTTACTTAAGCCCAATACTGTAGGTCTATTTTTATTTATTTTTTCTTAGATCTTAGTGTCCGTGAAAGGTGCAATTGACGTCTGACACACTGTACCTTGCAACTCCATGACACCTGCTTGTTGCCTTCCTTATGTCTCATTGTAACGGCATTTCTTGTGCTATTCACACAAACTGTACAGTACTCTTCTTTAAACTAGTTTTGATAAACATTTCCATTGATACAGTATTGAGGTTATTGTACACAACTTTTCAATCCTGTTACCCTACAGAGATTACAGTGCCTGTATAATACATATATACAGTATATCTACAGTAAATGGTTCTGGATATGTTTGGATGGCTTACTGTTGAGTAAACTACAGAACAGCACCAAAGCTGACAAAAATAACTTAAACTATTTGTTGGTAAGATGTAGTATATTTAGACATTTATTGTTGAAGTTAATTTGACAGATTTATATGATACTTTCAGGACTGGAGAAGGAGATAGTTGAGGATCTTTGTTTTGATGCTATGTTTGTGTACACCCTCTTCACTCTTGGTTTAGGCATCAACAACTCAACTTGGACTAATGTTCAGTTTACTGATGAGGTTAGTAGTGTACAGTACAAGGATGTTAATTTGACTCTTAAGTAAGTTTTCATATTTTATTACAGTATGTATCATTATTGTCCATGTTAAGACAGGTACAGTAAACTCTTGATAACTTTGAATATATGGGGCTCTAACCATTCCGAGTTATTAAAGCTCATTCCTCCCGGTCTTTTGCCTCCTTCAGCTTTCATAATAACCCCTAGCTTCCCACTTCAATACCCAAATTTTCCGCCCAAATAACCTACCATAATCAAAAAACTTGCCCGAAAATTGACACTTGCAGCACTGCAGGTGAAAGATGATGATAATTCAAGCTTGTGGTGCTGTGTGATAGGTGTCAGAAGTGTTGCAAAATAATATCATACCTTTGCTATATCCACTAATTTTGCTAAACATAAAATGCATTCCTATATGGCAACTCATCCACTTCCATGGTTACTGTAGTCCACGGTGTGTGGAACATTTAATATAACATATTCATATTGTAACAAAGTAATTCAATATTGTCAATGAAATAGCTAATTTCGGCCTACCAAATTAAATACGAAATGTCAAGCATTCAGGCCATCTAACCCTCATGAGACAACGGGAATGTTCAGTTGGAAAATCATCAGACCCCGAGTGTACAAGCAGAATTTGCAAGATGGCAGAACACTTGGAAAAGATGTGAAGAGAAAGACAAACCAAAAACGATTGTTGACTCACTAAAAGTTTGCATAGAATTTGGCACATACCAAAACATCCAAACTTTGATATATTTCTTGCAATACTTCCTGTGACAACTGCTACAAGTGAATGCTCATTCAGCTGCCTAAAGTATCTGAAGTTGTTTCTGTTACATTGTGGTAGAACACAGTCTAAATGGATTAGCTTTACTGTTTGTCCACAAAGATATGTAACTGAATTGTGATGAGGTCATCAATGAATTTGGTCGTAAGAACTGATTACTTGAATTTGGACTTCACAAGTAAGCTGATATACTCTCTCTCTCTCTCTCTCTCTCTCTCTCTCCCCCCCCACAAGTAAGCTAGTACTCTGTCTGTCTATAAACTTCATAGCTAAGTACTTAATTTGCAACAATCCTAGAAGAGAACAATGTGTTTTATTTTAACATGTATGTACTGTATATTTTTTGCTAAGAAACTTTTGTGTTCTATGAATACTATTGCCTGTACACTGTACAGGCAACTGCAAATTAAACATGGTGTATATCTGCTTATTTTACTGTTTTGTAAATAAAATATGCTTGCTAAAAATGTGAATGAAAAATAAAATGGGTATCCTTTTACATAGCCTTATCTTGAGATTCAGGAGACTTTCCCGTCCCCCCTTTCCATGAACTTCTATAGCCACTGACCACAGCTACTGGTACTTAAAACTGAAGAGGCTGCAACTCCTGTCACGAACGAGTTTATTTGGATGATTCAATCTTCCCAGAGCATGATTATCCTGGTTTACATTAGCCCGAGTATCCTGATTTACATTGAGGCCTGCAGTTAATTTTTATCTGCCCCTTAGGTATGATTCGAGTGCCTCTGTTGCAGCTTCATGATACCTGTAATGGGTAACATTGATCACAAACTGCACTACTCCTGCCTTTCTCCAATTTCCAGGCTTTACCAAGTCATATTTATGTGAGAAATTTATCAGCCTTTGGCACAGAAGATTCATAGACATTCCCTCTCCACACAGTTAATAGGATCATTTCAACTAGCAGTTTGTTTGTATGCACCATGAGCTTGTCGTGACTGAAATCTTTCATAACTGGAATGTTGGAAACACTTACCGGTATTCCTTAAAATGGTGTTTTTAATTTTTGGCTGGAAAGTACAGGACTGTATTGATAAATTAAGATTTTATAAGTAATATCATGAGATTATATTCTTGATATGAATATGGAAGTAAGTATTATTTAGTCATGTTCATCCAGTTGTAAAATCAGTATTTGGGTTAGTGAGCGAGTCTGTTTTGCTCCACGTGTGAGTGTCCCATGTCACTTGCGGAGTTGTGGCATACCTTAAATCATTATGCTTATTTTAGTTGCTCCTTTGGCCAGAGAATTATTTCTAGTTTTCACATGTATATGTTATATTTATATATTTTTTGACACTAAACTTGTTACTTTTAATACTTAAATGCTTTTTTTTTTTCAGTTAAACAACACTGAGGTAGTGTGGCCACAGGGTTTTATGATGAACCGCACCTCCAGCTTTGTCTCCGAGACACCTCAACAACTGTTGACCATCACTACATTCATGTTATTGGTGCTTCTCTTCTCAGCCTTTGTCATCAGTGGCATACTGTTCCTCCGACATTCACTAAAAATAAAGAGGAATAGTGCTTCATACCAAAGGTGTGAGCTTCACCAGGCATAGCTAACTGTTGGGTGGTGTTAGTGTAGATCTAGAGTAGCATTCTGTGATATGATGTGTTCAAAATAAATTTTAAATTGTTCTATTTTTAATCTACTTGTGACATTTGTTTGAATCCTTCCTAGCAACCTTGGTATAGTTGAATAAAAAGAAATTACCTGCTTCCTTACTTGTTTTGTACATATATATGTGGGATAATTCTCAAAAACTTGTCATTTATTTTGTGTAAAAAGAAAAGTAGTCGCATATTAACCCTCTCTCACACGTAATAAGCTTTTAAGTTTCCGTGATCATGACAAAAGTCCGAATAAAGAAAACAAAAATCATTCTCGGCATCATATCTTAAATATTTTCTTACAAACCTATACAGAAATATCATATATCAATACAAAATATATATACTGTATATATATATATATATATATATATATATATATATATATATATATATATATATATATATATATATATATATATATATATATATATATATATATATATATATATATATATATATATATATATATATACACAGTGAACCCTCACTTTACGCAGTCAATTGAACCCACGGCAGCCCGCGTAAAGTGAACAACATAACATATGGGATTAATTGAAATAGAGACCGGGCCGACCCCCAAACTCCACTTTTTCAGACACAATACCTACGTTGTAGTAAAAATAACTTCTTAACTTTATGATGGTATGCACACACAATTAATAATTAAGAGAAATATCAATAATATTAGGTTTATTAACACTTACATTAGTAGAAAAGATGGCTGGGCACACGGGGATGGGGGGTTGGTTCCGAGACAGAGGGCAGATTATTGGCCCTCACCTGTATCACTTGTATCACTATCCACCACAGAGGCTTGCAGGGCCTCTTTGTCAAACCCCTCAAAGTCCATATCCTCACTATCACTGACTTGGGCCGGCTGTGGTGGGTGGCGGGTGAAGAACTCGGTGATGTTTTGATGACCGGGCGACCTTGTGTGCACCCTGCTCGCGCCGCTCTCCGCGTAAAAGGGTACACACACCGCGGAAAGTGAGCATTCCGTGTTCGGCAGGGTACCGCGTAAACGTAGAAACGCGTAAAGTGGAATTTTGTGAGATTTCCAATGGTGATTTTGGAACTTTGATGCGACTAATTGTGGGGAGGGTGGGAGAGGAAATAATGAGACAAATGTGACCTACCAGCACGGCTGACAGGAGAACATTAATGGACAGCAGAGCTCCACCTGCGCTTTGGTACTTTCTGGAAGCTTCCCTCAAGATCATGCATTTATCTTAAAACTTTTTTTGGCAAATTTTTAACAGTTTAATGATGCTATTCACGTCACCAATGCAGATAATGCTACCCAATGATTGCACGAGAGGATTAATTAGGCTTTGGTAAATACTGCATTCACTGTACCCTCGTTAATTTAAGAAAAAAAAGGTCTGGGTCACTCAAATTACCGAATTAACCGAGTTCAGAATATTTTGACATTCGACAATTAAAGATATTTTTGTTTGATTCTTAAATTTTCTGTTCTGGTTTTGTATCTGGCCATGCCTTGGCTGCCACATAAAATAATCTACTGTATAATTACTGTGCAAACATGAATATTTTTAAATGTACATACAATAATAAAGTAAATAATACAGTAATAAATAAATGTAACACTGAGGTGAGCCGATGAAGCGAGGCGATGTTATAGTGCACTTACACAGCACACGCATTAACAGCACTACTAAACCATTGTCTTATATCATTTTAGTTTCTAATTCCTATTTTAAAATTAATTAATACATGATGGCTCAATTTGACTGCTTTGCACTTAAGACAAGTGATCAGTAAATAAACCAAGGCTAATGGATACACATTATACATTACAATAATAATGGTTAAGTTCTGATAAATACATTACAATATTACTCGCTCAAGACAGATCCTGTGGTAAGCACCAATCCTCTTGAGCAGTGACAACAACAGTGGTTGAGAGATGGCGAGTGCTGGCAACATTGTTAGGGAGAGCATGAATGATCAGCTGTTGCCGCTCTGTAAATGAGAGGAATATACTACAGCACAACAGCTTATCTGGGGTTGAGTGTGGGATTTTTATTTATTTTTTAATTATTATTTTTTGATAATTTTTTGTTAACTCTGCACTAAATGAACCTAAATAATATGGGAGTTATGGGTGAAATTATATGCTGCCGTTATAAAGGGATCACGGGCTACCGAGCAGGAGATTGCGAGTTGTCCTCTCTCCCTCCCGCCGCCATCTCTCCACTGCTACGCGCCCAAACATAATTTTATACACTTAATACAGTACTGTATTGTATAATTCACATTTTATTCCTATAATTCATTCAGCTTGATCTATTTCATATTATATTCCTATAATAATAATCATCGACTTTTTTAAACCACTTGGTTATTTGAGATTCATTCCGAATTCAAATAGTTTAGTTCATTTAAAAAAAAAACGTACGAATTAAGTTGAAATCCAAATTATAACGATCCCATTTAACGAAGGTAGAGTGTATAACTCTTTATTCAGACTTGATGATGGGGGGGATGTTGCATTTTCACTTGTGTTTTCATGTAAAGGAAATGTATGGTAATTAAAACTTGTAGGTGTCCATTACAGTATCACTAATACAGTAGAGATTTTGCTTTGCTTTGCTTACACCAACATTGCTTTGGCCACACTGACAGCTTTGCAGACAAAAATACTACCACATCCTTTTTTTTTTCATTACTGTATTTTAAGTCAAGACTACAAAAGTAGGCCAACAATGCATATACCTCTGCAAAATTTTACTTAAATAGGTCATGCTTTCAGAAGTATCTCAGAATAGTGCTATTGTTTATTGTGGAAAGTTCAAAATTCAAGTGAGGTGCATAGTAGTATGTTGATTTGAAGTAGTGTACTATAATTTGATTGACTGCTAACTCTGGGAACAGGGCCTGGGGTTCTGCACATACTCATGAATATGAGGTTGTCTTACTGCACTCTGACTTCATAAAAAAAAATTAATTAAAACAAAAACAAAAATGACGTATAAAAACGAGGATTTGCACTGGAAAATGGACTCTAGAAAAATGGCAGAAGTCTAGGAAAATAGATGATGTACTGAAATTATAATCCAGCTTGAATTACAAACCTTAGAACTGCCTCTTATATGTTAAACATTTCTTTTCACACGAGAATAACCCGTTATAGTACGTCCTTCTTTCCTCACACAGCCACACTGTGGAATGCTCTGCCTCCTCCTGTGTTTCCATACTTATACAATGTCTCACTTTAAAAAGATGGTTTTCCGGCATCTTCGTGGTGTAGATTAATACAGTATAACATTTTTCTTTTCTATTTTCAATTTCTTTGTTCTTTTTTTTTTGCCCCCCAGGCCCCGTTGTGGGTCGTTTGACCTGTGCCCGGGTGGGCTAATTCCCGTAAAAAAAAAAATAAATAAAAATAAATTAGTGAAGTAGAAATACAAATATTTTCTCATACAGTATTGTGAAAATCTTGACACTCTATGACTTGGTAGTGCTGTGGATTCCCAAAGCCATGAGACACAGTGTCATCAACATGGCCAGGTAGGTTTGAGTTGAACACAAGCAATGGTATTGCTCTGATCTAAGTTATCCCTTCTTGCCTTAGGTCTGCCATCCCACATTTATGGGAAGCAACAAAAATGTTTCATTTATTTTAAGATAATGAAGGTACAGTGCAAAGAAAAAATAATTTTAATAAAAATTATTTCCTTGTCTAAAATGTATCAGAGATGAAGTGGAGCGCCTTTGATATTAAGTGATGTAGTACAGTACAATAAAGTTGTCTTTTGAATAATAAAATATATATATATAACAGTTGGTGTCTCATGCCTTATTTCCTTGCAGGGTTATTGCAGACCACATTGATCAGGAGCTTCATAGATTTATATGAGATGAAAATGCAGACCAAGTTTCAGTGAAAAAATAGTTACACAATTTCCCATAATTTGTGGGATAATGACCTCTCGGCAAGAAGAGATGGCCCTTCCCAGAGCAATGACAATGGTGGTGGCCAGCTTGGCCACACCACGTCAGAATAACAGCCAACTAAGATGTGAACCTGTAGCTTCAGTAAAACGTGGAAAGGAATTTTACATTAGTGACCCTAAAACTTCTTAAAGGTCATGTAATAATAATTCAACAACACACCTCTGACCCAATCACTATACACCTCCTGTGTCTCTAAAGCACCATGGACTGTTAGAAACTTAAATTAAACAAATATTAAATGAAATATCCTGTACATTAGTATAAATGATACAAGTTTATTAGTATCAATGAAACAGGATTATTAATTAAACATATTAAATGTAAATTAAATGATTTAATGAAATACGTACATTAGTATAAATGATACAGTCTGGCAGTTGCGGGAATTTCAAGTGCCCTCTTGTAATTTTGTCCGGACTAAACGAGGTGCCGGACCATCAGTTCCTGGAAAATTGGTGGTGTGTGTTATACACATATATGTACAGAGTTCATTATTGTTTAAAGATTTACTAAATTTTTTAGGTCAGCTATTGGAGAAGGAAGTTTTCCATTTACCTATTACGGTATATTTTTTCTTCCTGCTTCGGTGTGGGCTAGATCAACTGGTTCAGAAACCTCAAAAAAGGCAGACAAATAGTATTGGAGAGAGAAATGTAAGCAATGACCTATAATTTACTAAAGTCTATCATGAAAGAAATTACAGAAATGAGATGAATTAGGAGAAGTAGTAAAGGGAAACGTCTTAGCTGCGGATGAATTACCAAGTGACCCAGTTATTAAGGGTATTAAAATTTTACATGTTATACTGTAGTTATACAGTACTGCACTTTCTGAAGGATGCACTGATTCATGTTCCTCATATTTTATAATACTCATTTTATTACAGGTATATAGCTTTACAAGACAGCATGTCAATAACCTTCAAATCAGCCATTCCATTACATAAACTACAGAAAGTATACATTTGTAACAAATTTTGTAAATGTTTTGTGATATAAATTTTATAATACACTGTGCATTTTGTTTTAATTAATCTTTACTGTGCTTTACACTTTTTTTTAAATATAAGTCATGAGCAGGCATGGGGATGAAACCAAGCCTCTGACTTTGAAGCCAAGCCTCCAGCTTTGAAGCCAAAGCCAGATATTAAACAGGTAATGAAGCCGAAGTCAAGGCTTTTCAAGGCTTCACGGAACCTTAATACCATTACCTTTATTTCATTATATAATATACTGTATAGTATTAGCTTACTTGTAGATGGGAATATGTATGGTATTCTAAGTTGCAGATTATGAGGTAAGCTGAATGTTCATGGGGTAAGTTTTGACACTCCATATAGACTGAAAAGATAAATTTATTACAATTTTTCTTATTAAAATTATTTTATCCACAATACATAAACATAGTAATTTACAGTCACAAATTACAGAACATTGGAAAAAGTCATCCATTTGGTATCTTTGAACTCTTCTGACATTCAGGTCAAGTCCTTGTGAGAATAGACCAATAGGGATAACTTGAGAAGTCAGTATGGATCACGTAAGGTCAAATCAGGGTCACATATGTGGTCAACTCATAATTGACCTGACCTCCCCAAAAGATTCTGACTTGATTGACCAGTGATGATATGTTCTCGTGTCGGCACTGGTTGCTGACATGCTGATCCATAATTAAAGCGACTCCATGTTATTTGTCAAGTCAATCAAAATTGGATCCGCCATTAAATTGATATTTATTAATATGATCTAAATCCAATTATATGATATGATCAGTGTGCCAAAACTAGTGGTATGCCTCTGGCGTTTGTTTGTTTTTTTCACTTTATTTCTATAACCTTGGTTTTCTCTCTTTTACTCTTGTTTCTAGGTTTTTATTTTCTTTCATTTCCAAAGCATTTTCTCAAAGTACTTACTGTATTTCTTTCAGTGTCTTACTTATTTGTTTATTTCCATCTTATTTAGTTATAGGTATTATGTGGGTTAACCTGAGAGAACCACATCCTTGACTATTCTTACACACTCATGTAATTATTTTACTTGCAACTCAGAGCTGCCACCACCCAGGCTTTATCTTTAGAATAAAACCTCCACAATGAACCTCTCAAATAAATTGGTAGCATGGTATGCACGAGTGGTTAGGCACGTGAGTTTTCAAGTGTATTTTCAGGGATGGCCATTGTTAGAAGGAATGGGCAGTGATGCACACATTATACTGAATATGGTGACACTTTGAACCTCATTCACAGCAAAACTTAGGTTCAATTATTAACAAACCAATATTACTGCTCTAGTAATTGATCATGATACTAGACTTGGGGTTAGGGGGTAGAAACACTTGGTGAAGTGAGTTAAGTCCAAGGGTGAGATGCCCACATCACAAAAGATGAGAAGAGACTGGGAGGCTCTCATGTGTGAGTGAAAGGTAAATACTGTACCTACTTGGCAACATAATTTAGCCAGGCCCTCCTTTTTTATTCAAATAGGCTTATGAAAGATCAAAATCTCATGTGATGTGACCCAAAGCTCTACAGATGCACATCATATGATATGACCAGAGGCCTGGGGGTTAATAATACTGCAATAGTAGCAATAAAAATAATAATACAGTATAGTCTTGATTTACGCGGTCAATTGAACCCATGGAGGTCTGCATAAACGAAATAACAGAACATATGGGATTAATTGAAATAAGAGACTGGGTCGACTCCCCTAACTCCACTTTTTCCGATAATACGTACCTTGTAGTAAAAATAACATCATAATTTTATGATGGTATTGACACACACACATATCTAAATAAAACTGTACAAATATAAAGGTGTTTAACACTTATGTTAGTAGAAGACATGGGTCGGCATACGGGGATGGCGGCTGGTTCCGAGGCAGAGGGCAGATTAGTGGCCCTCCGGTTAATCACTATCACTATTCACAGAGGTTTGCAGGGCCTCCCTGACAAACCCCTCAAAGTCCATATCCTCACTGTCACTGACTTGGGCTGGCTGTGGTTGTGGTGGGTTGCGGGCGAAGAAGTCCGTAATACTACGTTGACGACTAGCATTGATGTTGTCATCATACAACTGGACAGACGGCTCCATAAATTTCGACAGAAGGTTATTAGACACTTCATTCCGATGCTTGACTGTGTCTTTGTCAAGGATGAGCTTGATTTTCTCCGCCAACTCGATGACTTCCTTCACATAACCATGGCTTGGTCCAGGTAGTTCAAGGTTTCTCGGGGGTGGTGGGGGTCCAGCGGAAGCCATTGTGAGAGAAATAGCGGCACAAGAGAGAACTGTATACGCGGAGACTGAGAACAATGAGACTGGCCCGGCTAGGTCAGCGACTTCTTCCCTCTGGTGGCAGGGCACGTCATGTTACATTAGACCAATCACAGCTAGCGGTGGAGGGAAGTAAGGATGCGTGGCCCAATCACAGTCCGATACGTCATATGATGTTAGCGATTACGTAAGAGCGACCTAATGCGCACCCTCCCCGCGTAAATGATGGAATGAACCGCGTAACTTAAAATTGTCATTCTGGCAAGGTGCGGCGTAAATGACCAAACTCGTAAACAAAATCCGCATAAATCGAGACTACCGTATATCTCGGCCTATAAGGAGGCGGGGTGCACAAGACGGCCCTCCCAAATTTCCATTTAAAAAGTAGCTTTTGAGCTCTATTCGTTGTATAAGACCAGTACCCCAAATGTGACACTTACCCACTGACCCAGTAGTCCTTTACCAACCATCCTTGGTTTTTTAAAATAAGGCCAATTCACTTCAAGTAATGTCATCAAATGTTACCCGCTGGTGTAGTGTAAACACTAGTGACGTCACTTAAGCGTCTGCTATTTACCAGTAACTGGAACTAATGTCGGTGTCGAGTGAAATTTTTCCATTTACTTGAAATGGATTTACCGATTTATTTGTTTATTTATTTATTTATAATATACTGT